AAGCAAAAAAAAAAAAAAGAATAAATCGAAACTTAAATTTATTATGAGTTTTAATATTTTGTTTCTATACCTTTAGAATTTTGACTACTTACCATTAAAATTTTGATATGTTGCCTCCCCTATTCTTAAGTTCTAAAATTTTGTATTTTTTGTTGCAGCATTGTGATTCAATGAAACTAGGCTTTTTTTTTTTTTTTAGTTTTCTTTTTCAAGTGTAAAAGATTGAGAGTATAACACTTTTTTTTTTTATAAATAAACTCATCATTTTCTCAAATCATTTTGAATTTGTGATTAATCTCTCAAAAATATTAACATTGAAAACCCTTTCAATAAATACGCTTATTAGTATTCGACCCCGTATTAATTTCTTTATGGAGAGAGATTTGAGACTAATTACTGTAATTAGTATCTCAACCAACCAATTAACAAGTATAATGCGGGGATACCTCTCAGTTGGACACACATACGCATACGGTTCACGTGATGACATGAATCAGCTACATCAACTTTCTTCCATCAAATCATTTTCTGATTGGCCATCTCCTGCAGTTAGTGTTTTTGCTTTGGCTCCGATCATCCAACCCCCATGTGTCGTCTTCTCCATGGCCTCCTCTTTCTTTATCTACCTTCCCTCCCTGCTTCCCCTGCTTCCCTCGTCCCCCTCATGGCCGATTCTCCTTCTCCTTCTCCTTCTCCCTCCTCCATGACCACCACCACCACCACCACCCTCCACCATCCCTCCTCCGCCTTCAATCTCACTCTCCTCATCGCCGCCATTGTCTGCGCCTTCCTCTGCGCCCTCGGCCTCAACACCATGCTCCACTGCGTCTTCCAATGCGCCGTCACTGAACCGCTCCAGTGGATCGCCTCCCGCCGAATCAATTCCGGCCTCAAGAAGAAAGACATGGTGGCTCTCCCGACTTCCACTTATTACGCCAACCCTACCTCTTCGTCTTCTACTGCAACTTCTGCTTCTAATTGCGCGATTTGCTTGGCGGATTTCTGCGACGGAGATAGAATTAGGTTCCTCCCAAAGTGCAGTCACACATTTCACGTGGCCTGTATCGATAAGTGGTTGCTTTCTCATTCATCTTGCCCAACTTGCCGCCATTTTCTGAAATCCTCGAGTGATTCACTTAACACCCTGCATCTTATGATACCATAGATATGTCTGTTTCAATTTTTGAATTATGGATGGTTTGATAGTGATCTTAGTACACAGTAGGTAGCTACCTATCCATGTTTTGATTCCTGTGGAGGGAATTTTTGCTTGCCTTAATCTTGTTTAACTAGTGTTAGTTCTTCATTATGTGTGTTTGAGTAACATAATAATACTCGCAACTTTGAATTATGTTATCTTGGTGGTTTGAATCGGATCTAACTTCAAAGAAGTTGTAGGAAATCTAAATCGCGAGTGTTTTTACTTTTCAAGATCTTGGCGAGATATGCCTGTGAATATGCCTACCAAGTGAAACTTAAAGTTGGACCCAAGTTTGACTTATGTGATCGATCGATCAATCAATCTCTCTCTCTCTCTGTTTTTTTAATAGGTGCTCCATCTCTTTTTTGTTACAAGTATTTTCTTTTTTAGAAAATATTTTTCAATTTATAAGATACTTTTAGAGAATTTTAAATATAACTAATGTCTTTGACTTAAAATGCCAATCAGGCTATCAAAATTACTTGCAAATAACTAATGATTAGGATTAGACATTAAGAAGCAAAAGCTAAACTGTAATTTTAGAAAATGGTTGAATTTGGAAAGAAGTTGGGATTTGGGCTAATACAGACATTTTAATTTCTTGCTTTTTTTGATTTTAACAAATAAAATCCTCTTCCACTATAAGAGAGGGAATCCACCCTCCTTTTGTTACTTTAGCATATAGAATAAATAACCTTTTTATAGGAAGATATGTTCGGTGTCATGTGAGTCAGAAGCTTTTAATACTATCTCCAGTTTTTAATATAAGAACTAATAGACTAATTTGAGTAGATTTAAAAAATTAGTTGAATTAGTTATTTGTAATAAATATATGTTGCTTTTCCTAAAATATCATTGCTAATCAAGTATATTAGTTAAAACGACAATTGTTACAATGACTATATTAGGAAAAAACAGATAAATATAAGAGATAAGGTAGATTAGGGTCTTATATTTATGATCAAAATAAAAGTCAAACAAATTCTTATATTAAGGAGCAGAGGTAGTAATATAGATTTTTTATAATATAGATGTGACATAGTTAAAAATGTCTTGTAATAATAATGAATAGAGGAGGATTATCATATAACTTAATTATTTGTGCCACTCTATGACTTATTTCATCAGTTTGTATGTATTAGCTTTGTAAAACTAAAGTTTCCCTCAAAGCTCATCCAAGTTGCTTATGATCTAACCCAAGTTATAATCATAGATATGGTTAATAAGTAAGAGAGTAATTTACATATAGAGATAATTATCTAACCAATTTTATATCCCACAAATTTTCATTTCAATTAGTCGTGCGCTAATCTAAACATACCCTTTGTAATTTTGGAATTAAGAGCTTGAAACATAGAGTCAACGCTATGTTTGTGGCGACAGTAACGTTATTGCTTCTACATAAAGTTAAAACAATAATTTGCAGTAAATATTTTGACAAGTTAAATCAATATTCAACATAGGTGGTGTTTGAGATAAACATGATTAAATAAAAATAACACATTTTGATTACTAATTCTGATCCTAACTATAAGACCTCATTTGTAAACTACAAATGATGTATTATAAATAGGTTTGGAGGTAGTAATAATTTTGTATTTTTAGTAAGCAGTAAATGTTGATCTACCGGTACATAGACCAAAGTTGAAGACAATAAGGTGGCCTCCTCAAATCTAATGTATTCTCATTTAGATTCTAATGATATATACTATTTGCATTGTGGAAAAAGTAAAGGCATGATTAGCACAAAAAAGAAGATAAAACATAACACAAATATATATATATATATATATATTTTCCATGTCAGTGTCTCCAAAACCTTCCAACAAGTGGCGTGCGTTAATTAATTCAAGCATAGTCTGATTGTAATCTTTGAAATAAAATTCAGGCCCAAAAAAAAATCTTTAAAATAAAATTAAACACACTCTTCTATGGGAGTTAATTACAAGTAAAATTTAGTTCTAAATACATTATTTCAATTTACTTTATTTCTTATACTTATTATTTTTCTCCAAATTCATTTACTGAGTTATAAATTACTATATAATATAATATTATACAGGATTACAGATATATTTTAAGATGATTATGTCTCATTTATTATAATTAACTAATTTATTTGGCTTTCTTAATATATTTATATAAAAATGAACCATAAAAAATACATTTTTTTCAAATATAGTGTTTGATTTTTTTTTTTTTGCCAACAAATATAGTATCTGATATCCGACAGTATTATGTCAAATACATAATTCTTACATCGCACAAAATAAACAAAGAGGATTATTGATCAACTCAAAATGTTCGTCTATATAAAAATTGACTATTGTTTTTTCTAAAGTCGATAAAAACTCACGCCAAATCATTATACATTAAGCAAATGATTCCCCATATATTTATAAATATAAAATCAAAAGACGACATCATAGCAAGAGATGTATAATACGAGGTGCATCTTTATAAAGCAAGTTGAGATAAGAGAAGAGGAAGATAGGAAGATTGGATAATAAACAAAGCATATATCGTCCAATTCAAAATGCATATTCTCCGACATATCCAAGTGAGTGATGAGCAACATTTGTCCCATCATCACTTTGTGTGGATTAGGGTATTTGATGTCTTTTATCACACACAACAACCTCTCTAGCTGTAATTCGTTTAATTTGCTTGCCTAAATATTGTTGAACCAACAGATAAGATCACTCAGACTCATAGGCATCTTAAAAAGCTGGTGATGAAGCTAATCCACAATCCCATTATCTCTTCAAGGATTGCTAATTTACCATTACTTCAGGATAAGGATGTCTGCTTACCTAAATAAAAGGATAAGGATGTTTACAGCATATTAAATTTTTTGAGGGAGAAAAATCCCTCATCATTAGTTTTTTGACCCCCCCTTTTTCCTAAAATCATAGTTTTTAGCAAAATAATAGAGTGCATAGTTATTTTTTAAATTTTTTTTATCCTTACATTGTCAGATGAACACAAGCTAGGCTTACTTTATATTTATGTGGAGGAACCATGACGAAGAATTTAGAAATAAGTTCGACCCTTAACAAAGGCTCATTAGTCATTCCCCATGTTTGATTTGTAGCACCATGTTTTGTAGCATAAGGAAGAGACAGTAAAGCAGAGCTGTGCAAAACGAGACATAGAGAACTTATGAATGTCTATATGTATATATACACAAGACATAGGCTAAAAGGGTATTTGGATGAAAACCAAACCATAGTTTTAAAAGTGATTTTATGATATACAAAGTAAATATGTAAGAAAGTTTGTCTTGATTTACGAAAAAGTGCCTTTAAAAAGTATTTTTGGAGATATCCAAACACCCCCTTATAAGTTGATGGAATTTGGCTTTTTCCAAAACTTAAGTATCAACTATATACTCCTCTTGTGCTTAATATATGACTTAATTTAAAAATTGATAGTGATCCTATGATTTTTTTCTCAAATTAACTCTATTAATATTTTTTCGACAATAATCAAGTAAAAGATGAAGAAGATTAAGAAAAATGATTAGGATAATTTAGAAAAATATATCATATTAGCTAATTTAACTAATATCATTAATCTACTTAAATTAGTTAATTAGGTCATATATTAAATATTGAAGGAGTACTAGTATTATTTATGATTTATAACTAGAATGATTTGTTATGAATTTTATATTGGTATATCAATGATATATTAATTCAATGATTTACTTGTTAAATCATCAAAACTTCAGGCTCTCGTATCTTCCAGCTATCAAAGAAACCAAATATTCAAGCAATTAACGTTGCTACTAGAAGGATACAGTCAATTTAGACCTATTTCAAATTACTAAATTACATCCACACTTCAACAAGAGATTCTAACCCAAACCTTGTGTATATACATCCGCCTCAATAACTTTGAAACTTGAATAATTTGATTAGCTTGAAAAAATGCTAAATAGCAAATTTTGATTGCCTAGAAATTTTGACTATAAAATAGATACACCAAATTATGTACGAGAGGACCTTACAGTCCAAACCAGCTAACTTGTAGGACTTAACTAGCACCTTTCTGGTAATCCTTAATACAGAAAGGCAGGCTGAAACTATCCCATTTCCTTGCGATCTGGAAAGCTGTTTGTCACTTTTCTAACTGTAGCATGCTTCAGATTCATCCTCGTCATACAATTTTTCATCATCATCATCTTCGTCTTCATCCTCATCTTCATATAAAAGATAATTTCGATGCTGGCTCTTTAAGCGTATTTGAAATCGGTCTCTGATTGCAGTTCCCTAGTTTATAGGCAAGACAATAAAATGAGATTTCATAAAAAGGAATTATCTAAGTAGTAATGAAGAAATCATACAAAAAAACGAGTTATTTTACACAGTAAGTAGCCTTATAAAGAGATAGGAGAAAGAGTCAACCATCTTGTGGCAACCCTCTTCAAACATTTCCAGAAATCCGGCAATCAGTCGATCAGCATTTTCAATCCATTCATCACGGTGCATTCCAGCAGTTTTTGCTACCGTTTGTATCTACAATTAAGAAAGAAATGAAATTCTATCTTATGTTGCAGCAGGAAAAAGATGTTATAAACTCTGCACATGCATTAAACAACTTAAGGACATGGACATTGTGGCATAAAAAATTCAGAATTTCCAAGCAGTCAAGTATTAAGTTATGCCTAATAAAATTATCTGTCCTGCAATACAGTAAAGGTCAAAACTTTTATGCATCATATTGGGTCAACAACTTTGGGCTACGCTTGACCCAGTCTTCATGATCTCAAGATACTTCAACTCCACAGGTCTGTTCTTGGTAGGAGCAGAATCCCTTGTTACAAATAGCCAAGGAAACCAATGTCACAGCTTGCTTTGTTGGATTGAGTCAAATGGCCCATGTTCATAACTGTTTAGTAGTTTTAACACTAAAAACTGGTTGGTCTGTTGACCTGCCCAGATTATTCCAGTTGTTAACTGGTCTAAGCAATTTTCAACCAATTGTTGGCTGGTTTTAAGGATTAACTGAAGCAGTATGGACGTATTGTGGCCAGTTTGATGGTTCCTTTGTCTAACTGTTTTGCACACATTGGCTAATGACGCGAAGACAGAGAAAAATCAACAAAATTACCTTCTCTCCCACTTTCTCTTGCTGTCTCTTCACTTCCTCGCGCAACCTTTTAAGTCCCATGTTCATTCTAAGTCTCTTCTCCTGCAGGCAGTGGATAAAGTAACACAAAATTGTCATCTTACAGTGAAGGCATTAATTAACCAACTGACAAATAACAAACAGAATAACATCAGCGAGAAATAGGTTCCAATGAAGGACAGACCTTCACATAGCTGACACCTAGATCCCTTCTTGAATAACCACGGTCCAAATTGCGAATGATGTACTGGTTGTAATCTTTGATAATTCTCATGATAATATCCGAAGTAGAAATCCCCTCAGTTCGCTTTGTTTCCTTAAATTTTCCAACTGACTTAACCTATGTATTACAAGGAATAAATACATAAAAGATAACCAGTGTCAGTCACAAGGTTTGAGAAATTTATACAGCTGCTACATTAGCAGCACTAGCTCAATGAAACGATCAAAGCTAAACAAGGCTGAAAATAGAAATGACTCAGCAAGCTCTAGGCTTGTTAGCATTAAGATAAAGATAAAGACATAAAGCCGAATGTTAACTTCATCCACTATATCGTGTAACATAGAAAGGCTTGAAGCCTCCGAGGAGTCAAATTAGATTCACAAAGACGAACTACTATTCAGGGAAAGAATGAGTCAGCAGAGAAAAGAGGACACTCAATTATGTGAAGCTAGATGGCATGTGATTCAGTTTTAACTAAAACTTACAAATTCATAGACATCCTTTCCAGCTCCACTTGCATCAGCATAACTAAGGTAATAGAATGGGAAAAAGGAAAATTAACGCGTTGAAGAATGAGTGAGAACTTGAAGATCATGGTACAGTACAAAATACCGTTAAGATTTAAAATGCAAGGAGAAAACGGCCACACAGAAAAAGGCCTCACCAAACAACATATAAAATGGAAGTTTAATACACTTTTTAGAAACTTGTCGTTCTTAACCGATAGGATCGTGGGGTTCAAATGCCAAGTAACATCAAATAGTCCACAGCTGATGAACTAAAGTGCAAAAAATCTCTCTTTTTAATCCTTTGCAAACCATAGACCATCCATTTATTCATGGCACCCAACAATCCTCAACAATCATCTGACATGAATCTTGAACCCTTTTTTTTTTGGGTAAATTTTGCTTACATGAATTCCATCTTTTCTTTCAGGAAAATAAAATCGAGCATCCCTTTTTTCTACTTAAAAGAGCAATACTTCGAAAACCATTAAATTACAAAAACAATCTACTTCCAGTGCCAAAGTTGACAAAATAAAAATTTATTTGAAAACCCTAAGCTTTCGATAAAGCTGCTGCAAGAAGGTTCCCCGCCCATCAACTTTAAACGTGTACTACTCCACTGTTGATAATTTTTCATCCATAAGTCCCCTTGAATCATGATAAGTTTACAAATGAAAGCAGTTAGCTCGGGGTTGATTATACTTACGGAAGAGAATCATGTGCCACATAGTCGATTTGATGCTTGTCTAGGAATTCCTGTGTGATTATCCAAGGCGCATCAGGAATAACTTCGTCAACCCACCTGCATCGAGTACAATGCAGCAGGTTCAAGCAACACTTGCATGTGAAAAGCAGTCAAGTAAATCTGATAACGGAAAAGTCCAATATAGTGTTCTCCCAAAGGTGACAACAATTCAGACGAGTAAAACAGATGGACCAGAGTTTTCTATTTTTATTTAAAAGAATTCAATCGCTAGATAAATTTTTGGTGGTAATAGAAGCAAAGAAATTTTTTGATCTTTTATACCACCAAGAAAACTGTTTTTACGGTGTAAAAATGTAAAAACTGAACTCCAATTGACCATATTTCATGAGGTGCAGCAGTAGAACTCAGAGATCAGAAATGGTTTTATTCTAAATTTCTAATAGTAGCGCATTACATAAATAGGGAGTGTCGGTATAAGTAAGGTATTAGTGTTAAATGAATCATAACTAAATTCGAAGAATAAACCAACCTGCAATGTCGAAGAGACTCATAGCGTTCTTTCTCGGTCATTACAGTTTTGCCTTTATATTTGTTAGTGACCTCATCATTGCAGCATCCAACAAGGAGATAAGTGTTTGGAAACCTTAAATTAAGGAAAAAGGAAATGGATATGCATTACATGATTGCTCAAACAATATCTGTTTTATAAGAGAGTAATGGCCTTTAAATTTGTTAAGTGATAGAGCCATATATATGGCTTCTCCTTGGCGCTCTGCACAAGGCCTTCTACAAGGACACACTATTTCCTGGTCATTGTCCTTGAGTAATTTGTTCTTTCTTCTCTCGATACAAATTCTTCATGGATCAAAAGAAAAAATACAACAGAATGAAAACGGCAAAACAATGTAGACTAAATCAGCAGGAAAAAAAAAATCACGACTTATCCTACGGACTAGAGGGGGATCATAGTTTAGAGTGAAAACCTGCTTCCAACTAAAACAGAGGGTCAGTGAAAATTAAACTTAGCAGAGTCATGGACGGAGGGAATAATCAAAACAGCAAATCATGTCGTCGAACTTCGAATTCAAACTACAAGCTTTTCCGAAAAAGGCATAAAGGAAAGGAAGAGAGAAAATTACAGTTTCTTGGCTTGCTCGAGGGAACGGGCATGACCGAAGTGAAAAAGATCGTAAATTCCATCGGCGTAAACACGAACTGGTCTCTCGGCGCCACCAAAATCCGTGGGTTCAGAATCCTTGTGATCCTCCATCCCTCAAATCTCTATCTCTGTGATCGATTGAGCGCCAAGCGAGCGTTAATTTTAAAGCGCCAAAATCCGACTCTGGCTCCAACTCCAACTGTAAGAATTGCCGCTATTGGATTTTGTTTCAAATCAGTCCATATTAATAGTTTTCCAAATGGGACTTCCATATCCGTTGGTTTGGTCGTTTAATATAATACTCCTCCGGTGCTTATTATAAGACTCAATTTGACTTTTTATTTGGTTCTAATTATAAGACCCAATCCATTTTGTCTCTTATATTTATGTATTTTTTTTTCAAGATAATCTTTCTAATAATGATAGTTTAGCCAATATACTTAATTAGCAAGGATATTTTAAGAATGACAACACTTATTATTATAAATAACCAATTTAACTTACTTCTTTAATCTCCTCAAATAAGTCAATTGGGTCTTATAATTAGGACCAGAGGAGTATATCTGTCTAATCCAAATATAATCTTATAACATGTATACGTGGAGATTCCCTTATCATTATTTTGTTGGACAATTCTTTTATCATCAAATTATCAATTTTATATATGCACATATTTTATAGAATTCAAATCTATTGTTTTATCAAATTGTGAGTGTTGGTAGTTTTTGAATTATTTTACTTTATTTTATTTACTTAAATTGAGAAGCATCAATAAGCAACGAAAGCAACGAACACTTAGAAAACCATAACAATTATAAAGATATCACAAATTTTAAAACATAACTAAATTTTAAGAAATCATAAATAAAATTATGACTTGTTAAACACAAGATTTTGAATCTGAATTTGTACGAATTTTAAAAATATTTATGAGAGATATTCTCAGTTGAATCTAACATTACTTAATCACTTAAATATAATCTAATAATACCAAACCTCAAATTCTCACATATAATCTAAAAAAAATAGTTAGGTAAAGTTCCTTATATTTACTATATCAAAATTTTCAATTACATATGACAATGTATACTATTTTTAAAATAGTAATATTTAATAACACTTAATTATAAATTCACCCAAAAAAATTAAAACACATGTCATGTATAATTAGAGCACTTAACGAATACAAGAAACATGACATAATTATTTTCCTATAATCTAATTAATTAATAATAAAAGATAAAATTATATCTAATGTTTTTCATAAGGGAGGGAGGGAACGCTTTTTTTTTATTTATAATTTATATTATTAAATTTTTTTTACATCCATATATGATTTTGTCATTTATTAATTATTTATAGGAATAAAAATAAATGTTGTTAAACTTGAAGATAGAAGCAACAAGATTTAATATTTTTCTCAATTTTAGTGAAACACTGTGTGTGTCTTATGCGGCTGTGTTTCATAAATAGAACTCCACGAGGGCATATAAAATCAAAATTTTAAACATCTTAAATTATTTTGGGAAGAAGAAGAAATGATACTGCTTTTAATATTTAATATAAAAATTATTTAGATATTTAATTTGATTTTAAATATAAGACCACAATCTATTTTATTTCTAATATTTATTTATTTTGTTCTCAAGTAATTTCTATAATAATTATATATGTTAAGAAATTATTATCAATGATTAATTCAAATATATATGATTAATAAAATTATTTCAGAGAAAATAATATTTATTTATTATACATAATTAATTTAACTAATTTTTTAATCTCTTTAAATTAGTAACTATATTTTATTTTTTTAAATATTCATACGTGAGACTTCTGTGTAAAATAAAAGCGGCGGATAACAGCAGACAGGAGGAATTCTGGTGATGCCGCTGCTTGTTGCCACTTCCCATGCGCCGAGCGCCTTTTGAATTCCTGGGAGTGATGAATGTCGCAGTAGCAGGCCTGCTTGCTCCTTCTCTGACTCCTCGTCTTTCTACCTCCATTGGAAGCTCGGTATTCGTCTCTCTTCTCTTCGCCCCCCACACCCCAAAAAAAAAAAACTTTAATTTCTTCGTCTGATTATTGTTCTAATGATTGCTTATTGTTATAGGTTACTTCAATGAGTTTTTTAATGCTTATGGAGGACTTTAATTGTAGATTTCTGTTTGAGGGCAACAAAAAAGTTTGTAGATTTCCGGGTTTTGTTTGGTCTTCATGGAAATGAGTGTTTCTTCTGGGTAATTTTATAGAATCTCGATGGCAATGGACGATCCCCTCTGGAGGAGTCTAACAATGTTTTAAATCCCACTCAAGCCGCGTATAAATGGCGCTTGGTTTTGGCCTACGATGGAACCAATTATGCAGGTCTGCTTTCCCTCCCAGTTTCTGGGTTTGGAGCATGTGGTTTCTCTTTTGTGAAGGCCTTTGCAACCTTTGCGATCTTTTCTGTATCTTTCTTTCCGGTTAGCTGGTTCTAAACTCCATGGCCTTGCTGAAAACTAACTAATAAACCAGCGATTTGGTCTATGAATTGTTGTACCTATTTACTTTAGTTTTGAACACTAATTATCTTCAAGACTGATTATATTTCAGGCTGGCAATATCAGCTGTCCCCCCCAACCATACAATGCGCTGTGGAAAACGCTTTAACTCGAGTTACCAAGCTAGATAGAAAGGATCTCTGCTTGGTTGGTTCTGGCAGGACGGATAGAGGAGTTCATGCATGGGGTCAGGTCCATCTTTATTTCTCTCGTGTAGTTTGAAACAGACTAGATTGAACTTGACTCTGTTCAGGCTAGGGTTTTGAAGAGAGAGTGCCCAAAAAGCAAAATAGTCTGTCCAAGCCCAAGTCTGATTTCACTTTTCTATTTCATCTTAAACATTATTAAAGCTACATGAACCTAAAGATTATTAAGATATCAAACATTTCTTCAGGTTAATCAAAATCAAATGGCAGGAATTATAGTTTTTCCGGACAAGATTTTCATAAAATGGTTCTCTTCTAAACATGAAAGCCTCTAGCGAAAATGTTAAACATCATTTCCTACTGGTCTGAAATGTTAAACAACATTAAAAGAGGAAAATAACAAACTTCACTCGCATTCCATTGAGGCCTAGGCTAGAAAACTGAAAATATATTCGGGTCTTAAATTTAAGGACCAAATCTATGGCCTCCATAAATTACAAGCTTAACGTTGCTGCAGGTTGCACACTTCACCACACCATTCAACTATGACAGCTTGGAAGAGATTCACGCAGCTCTGAATGGCCTTCTTCCTTCTGATATCCGAGTTAGGGAGATTAGCCCAGCATTGCCTGAATTCCACGCTCGATTCTCTGCAATAAGTAAGGTTTACCATTACAAGATATACAATGATACCATCATGGACCCATTTCAACGGCACTTTGCTTACCATAGTGCCTATAAACTCAATAGCGCTGTCATGAGAGAAGCTGCGAAATATTTATTGGGAAGCATGACTACTCTGCCTTTGCCAATGTATCCCACAATGATCGGGTTCCAGATCCAGTGAAGGAAATATTCAGATTTGATGTGGTAGATATGGTAATAGTCGATCTCTAGTGCAAGGTTTCTGCACTTTTAGATATTATTTCAGTTCTGAAATGATAGTTTAATCCCAGTAATAACTAGCGATAATGACAGTTAAGTCCTGAAATATTAATTTGATGACAGTTAATCCTGATAAAATTTTCTGAAAAATGATTTGTAAATATTGATTTAGATAATTGCAAGTGGAAATCTCACTCAAAACTCAAATACCTAATTTGCAATTGAGACTCCAAAATTTACAACAATCTGAATCGATACTTGCAGTTCACTTTCCAGAAAGAAAATTTTGTCTGGGAGTCTGTCATTAAATTGATGTTTTGAGACCTAACTATTATTCTTCCTAATAGCTAAAATTTACATTACTATTTCTTTTAAAATTGAGACAAAAATTACCACTAGATGGTTAGTGGTAATGGAACAAATCATTGTAGTGTAAACTGTAATTTACTTATTTAGTGTTTTGCACTATAGTTACTCTGATTTTATCTTATTTTTGCTAGAATTCTTATATAGCTGGTTACTTTATATGTAGGGAGCTCTTTTGCGGCTAGAAGTTGAAGGCTCAGGTTTCTTATACAGACAAGTACGAAACATGGTAAAGAGTTTACTTAAGCCTAATCCATGTGAAGGATTATTCTGCATTTTAAATTTATTCTAATGATTCCAATTAAATGCTGGAAATTGTGTCCATGTGTTTACCATGTAGGTGGCTCTGTTGCTTCAAATCGGCAAAGAAGCAATTCCTCCTGACATTGTCCCCATGATTTTGGAATCTCGAGACCGCAAGGAGCTGGCAAAGTACGCATTGTCTACTCCACCTCATGGCCTTTGCCTTGTATCTGTCAACTACAATGAAAGTCACTTATTAATTCCACCAGGTCGCCCTGCTGGCAGTTTTGGTAGGCATCATAGTGTTACAAAATGTAAGCTTCCGTTCTATTAACAATATTCAGCAGCCTATGAAATGATGAGACTTCAAAAACGGTGCCCCATTGAATTTGCAGATATGATGCACACAATTTATCTCGTGGTCGTATCTGTGTCAATATTGATGTTTCTTGATTAGGAACAAAAGGAAGATCCCATTTGTAGGAACTACGTTTTGACGTATATTTGATTGTGCCTGGGGCCTGGAATAGGAATTTGACTTCTGGGTTTGTTTCCAAGATATAATTTCGAGTGAAGTTCCATATTTGTTTAATTCAATGAGTATAAATTTAATCATTTACTTTTAACCTTGATTTGCATTGGTATTTGGTACTTATATGCAAGAGGAATTACTTTGACTTGTTAGAAGGAACCGGGCTTGTTTGTGGAAGTTGAAATTATTCCTTCTGGTTCAAAATATAAGCTAAACTTTGTTAGTGAGACTTAATTTTTTTTATTTTTTATTTTATAAGATAACATTCACTTTTATCTAATGTTTAATGAGTTTTTTTTTTTTTTCAGTTTTGTCCTCATATATTTTCCTTTTTCTTTGATTCATTTATTGTATTTTTTACTTATTTTCTTCATTAATAAGGACATATTTTGGGGAAAAAAATTACGTGCCTTACACATTTATTATTTTAAAGTGCTTTTAACTAGTTTCTTAATAAA